AACTGGACGCCTGCCACTTGTAGATTGGTACTACGACACTTTTGGGTAGAAGCCTGGCATAGTTCCGGCTGATGTACCCTGTGTATGGCGTCTTTCCCCAGCAAACTGCTACTTTCTATCTGATTGCTTCCGCCTTGCGAGAGTCCCCTGGCAGTGCCCAACAGGGGAGACACTGACGGGGGGAAATGGAGATTTCAGCGGTATCCCGTAAACGGATGTCACCACCTGGAAAGGTCCAGGGATCCGTCACCCGCCGTCTCCAAATCGGACTACACCGGCACAATCTGTGTACGACAGGGATATGTGGCCACGTGTTCAGCAGTTGCGAGGGGGGTGCTCCCTTCCCCCATGAGGTGAGTTCCCCAAGGCCTGAAGTAGTCACTTAGTTGTAACCTGGCCATTCACCGAACACGTGCCTGTCCCCCCCGGTTGCAGAGGTGAGCGTCAAACATGCCTCCCCTGCTGCCGGGTAGACGTCCGCTCAGGGAGGGCGAGGACACCACCACCTGGCTCTTACCTCCCTGGGGGCGCACCACTACCCTCCCCTCCCATGGAAGGGTATAAGCGCTTGCCTCCTGGCTGACTCTGGCTAGCCGACGACGCCCTAGGGCATTGTGTTTTCTGTGCTTGGGGTGCTCTCTGCTTGCCCATGTCGCCTGGTCTAGGAGGCTGGTGCGTTCTGCCTCCAAGGTCTCCAGAGTGCTGGTCACGCATAATAATGTGCTCAAGCAACTCTGCCCTCAGGGCTGGATGGGTCGTCTTTAATTGGCAAAGACACCCATGGAACGCGGCTATCCCCCTTTGACCGGTTTGCCAAATTCGTGGTACGAGGGTCTGGGGGAAGAAGCATTGGAATCCGGTTGGGGGCGTTTTGGTCTCATCCCACGCTATGGGGTCTGATCCCGAAACCACACCGACCGGGTAGCGTTTGGTCCAGTGGGAAGTGTTGCATAATGTTATTCCCACCCGGGGGCCTTAAGCATTACATCCTTCGCAACTGACCAACGCCGCCCATCAACACCGTTTGCATGCTCTGCGCCCCACTCCACACTCAGGCGGACAGGGAGAAACTTGCCGAAGGGGTTGCTTTGGATCCCGACGCCCGTGATCCCATAAGCATTGAAGCAACCTCAGGTGGTCGCTTTAGGATCAAGGGTGGGGATATATACATCGTATCACTGGGATCGATGATACTCCGCCTCACCCCAAAAGCGTGGCTCATCGAGTCAAACAGATGGAAGACTCTGAGGGACCGCCCTGAGTACCGGCTGTATCCGACGCGAGCGAACTGCATCTCCTTCCACTTTACATATGTGAGAGGGAGCGTGTTCGACTGTGCGTCTCATGACAGGGTCGGTTCCCTCTGGGGACGCCTGTGGGTCGTTAAGAAAGGAGTCAAAACCCACAGCGGGGACCGGACACAAGGAAAAATTCGTTACCGTTGTACAGTTACCGCGTGACGAACCCTAGCTGGCTGGCTGAAAGTAGGGGGGGGGTCAACGTGTGCCCTGCCCCGAGATCGGAGACTTGGCTGCCAGCACCTCGTTGGCATTCAGTGCCAGAGGATCTAGAGAAGGACCGGTGCAATTAGCCTGAGCCTCGGCCACCCCCAGAAATAGTGGGAGAGCCGTGCCTGGGAACAGGGGTTCCCCGGAAGAGACGTGTTTGAACGTAGTGAATATGGCTCTAGAAGAACATTTATTAAAACAAAATCTTATCTGAAAACAAAATGATTTGCATCAAGGTTCTATAATGTCCAACGTATATACCAAGTTTGAACAAAATTCATCTACAGCCGAGAAATGCTTGATTTTGATGATTTTTAGAACAAAAACAGCCGTCATTCGACCATCTTGAATCAGATCGTGAAACAAATTGATGTACATATGTATAATACATGCGTGAATTTTGATTCGGATTGGTTCAGGTATTTCTAAGATACAGGTCCGGACGGACGCACGCACAGAGGTTAAAACACAAGTCCCTGTTTTTGGACTGCATCCGAATGGGGACTAATTAAGTGATACAACAAATGCCAAGAAAACCCAGCTTTAGAAGTAACTATTTTTGAAGTTAATACTAATATTATTGGGCAAGTCTGTACCTACTGCAGTACATATGTAATAAATAACAAGACTGGCTTTTTAAACCATTTATTCTCATAGTAATTTTTTTTACAATAAATCTGTGGTTGTTGTTACTCACAAAATAGAGAAATGAACACTGTATAGTTACGGGACACAAGCACTTTATTAGATAAAAATCCAAACCATTCTCATCACACACCACAAACTAGTTTTAAATTAACTGAAGGCAGTTGCACAAGCGTTGATAATTATGCCCTCGCAGATAAAGTCTTCAAATCCCGTATACATTGAGCAATGTTTTCTTTTTCCTGTAGAATAAAGACAGAAACTTGAGTTTTCTCATAGCACAATTGCACCCAGAGTTGTTATCTCACATATTGTTTCCTATAATCTTATTTTCGTGAAATGTTTTCAAAGCCATGGTTTCTCAGTGAAATTGAGCACTCTGAGGGAAAAATCCTTTTCAAGCCATTATGTATTCAAATATACTAGATTCAAGACGATTTTTGAGATGAAATCACAGCATTTTTCTGTGCCAACTTTGCTGAGGGGAAAAAACTTGCATCATGCAATTACATTCTTGATAAAGACACACTTATTATTTCCCACAAATGGCATACAATTTGTTTTTATCCCAATATTCACAACTGTTTGCCTACTATAGTGGCAATTTAGTCCACATATCTTGACTGTGTGACATCAACATACTCAATGACAAAAAAGATTTGCATAGTGACAACAAGTTTATCATTGTGGAACTTCAATTTCATCAATTTAATTTTATTCGTATAATATTGAACAAGCTCAGTATCGAATCAAAAAACACTGTCAATTATTTTTGTACAGTTCAATATCCTGTTATGTACCATGATAAGGAGATTATTTGAGATATTATACCTGCTGCGGTGTGATGCTCTGGATTACATTCTTCTGAATCCATTCTACCATATGTTCCTGCTGTACACGCCGTTTAACATTCTCTACTTCAATATGATAGTCCTGTAGACAAAAAATTACATTAACTCCGATAAAAAAAAAAACAAGTGATGAGATGAAACATTCCCACTAAAATGACCACCATTTGGCTATATTGAATCAGAACACAAAATAAACTCCTGTGCATACGTATCTTAAGATGTACGTCTAAATTGTCAATGTCAGGCATGTCCAACATGCAGTATGCATGCACACACAGGCTCAGAGACGCGACATTTTTTTTTGTTATTCCTTCACATATGCTTTGATAAATTTATTTTATGACTGAACTGTTGTCTTTTGTGTCCAAGAATCTAATTTTCACCACGCTTGCTTGTCAGAATGTTTGCTCATTCAGCAAGAATTGAGAAAGTTTCCTGACTGCAAGTCAAGCAAAGGCTGACCCTGCTTTTTGTCTCACAATCCAATTAGTTTCATCAAATAGTGAATGCACTGACAGTATTTTTGAGGCAAATCAATGAATAGATATGTTAAAACGCATTTACCATTTTCTTTTTGACATCTGCAGCAACTGTGTGCAACCTCTCTCGATAAGCTGTCTCAATTTGCATAGCAATGTTTTCCTACAAAGTTAAATGAACATTTTAACATACACATCAAACTTTTTTCATTCCATAGTTTGGCAGTAAGCATTTTTTTGTGGTTACAAAGTTGGCATCTGTGATTACTTACTTTCCTAGCATCAAACAGCATATTCCTTCCATCTAGACGCCATTGCTCTTTCTTCTCTGCATCAATAGACTGCTGTAAAGCGTCAACTTGTGCATTTTTTACATCATAAGTTTGTTCAATTTGATCCTAGTAATAAATGAATATTTCACAGAAAGTGAATCATTGATTTTAAATGTGGAGGGAGAAGTTGGATGGTGCATTTCCTTACTTACATTTATTGTTTTGTCTGCATATGCTGTATATGCAGGTCCAAATTTCTTTACTCCATAGACCAGAAGTCCAATAATGAGGGCACCGTGAAGTAATTCATGGGAAACAACATATATTTCTTTGTTTATCAGGTATAGTATTAGACCTGTGCCAAACATGTATGGACCTGAAACAAAAAATCATCCAATGGTAAGGGCGACATGAATTGTATTGTGGTTCAGTTCGAAATTTACCATGCAGATTTCAGAAAATAAGAGGCATCATGTTGAGGTACATGGCAGATAATGCAGTGCAGAAAAGTTGACAGACCAGCCCTTGGTTCAATACTGTGATTGCTTAGTATAAAACCTGTACCTCAAGTGATAAATAAAGACTTGTAGGTTCACAAATAGTAACTTATAGAAAGTGTCTTACTATAATTACAGATAAATTACCGGTAGTAATGTATTCTCCCCTATCACTATCTTAAATTGTATTACAAATTACAATTTTAAGTACAGTCAAATATACAATTGTGAGTTGGTGCAATCAAGGTAGATAGGACACAGCATTGTATGGTACTCACCAGTCACACCAGTTTTATTGTAGAAAAATGTGAACCATTCTTCAGGTATAAAGCCAAGTCTGACTTTGCCACCTTCTTCTGGCATTTTATAGGGCATTAAATCTTTACTTGAGGTGTGAAATGTCATACTTGGCATTGCTGCAGCACTAGAAAATCAAGTCAAAATGACAAGAGTTATAATTTCAGACATCAATTTGGAGCAAATCTTATTCCATGTATGTTTGAGATCAAGTTTCAGCATGGTAGAAATTCTTGATTTGTGTACATGTTTACAACTATAATGGCTTCTAGTCAGCTATATTGAATCAGGTAAATATCACCAAAAAATTGGCGTGGAAAAATACTATGTCAAATTAAAGTAACTTATACCATACTCCCCGATCACAAGTCCCTCCCCGATCACAAGTCCCTCCCCGATCACAAGTCCCTCTCCTCTATTTTTAGACATTTAACGAGTTGAGGGCATCTCCGTTTATAAGCCCAGGGTGTTTTAACTGGGCTTTGACAACATTTATTATAAGTGTTCATTGCATAAAAATCGAGCTTAGTATGGTAGTTCAGTTCGTGAAACCTGTTCATTGAGACTATTGTGAATGTGGGGCGTGAACAAGTAAACTATTCTTAAAACTAAACTAAAAAGTAGACTATGAAAGGTGTTTAAATACTTCCTCCACACTCAGTTTACCTTTTAAAAATTGCAAATCACCAGTATTTTCATCAAAATCAGCACTGAGAGACACATTTTAATATCACAGAAATTCACTTCCGCATTACGTTAACAAAAATTACACCCGAAATTAATGACTACTCGTTAAGTTCTGTTTTTCTATTTAAAAAGACGTGATATCCCCCAAGCCTGGCATGGAGAGCGAAAGATGTAATTTGGATAGTTTTTCCTGGGTGGTAAGATGGTCACAATACCACAAATCTTTTCTGAGGTAGTCCTAGAGTATAAACCATACCCCTTATTTCCCCTGATTTTACATGTTGGGGCCCATGAGCTTATGAGGGAAGTACAGTACTGTATGTGCGATTTGAACCAACGCTCACTAATCACCAAACTTCACTTCACAGCATGTCATCCCTCGGCTATCGGGAATCCATAGAAAAAGATGCCCAGATTGGCATGAATAGGTTTCACGCTTTCTGCATTAATAAACTTGGTTCTTTAAGCATCTATTTTTGGAGATGCCTAGTGGCTGAAGTGAAGACGTGCCGTAATGGATGCTGTGTGCAAGCGTTGGTTCAGTACATGTTTAATTTGACATAGTATTCACCATGTTGTTTATTTGTCGACGTTTACTTGCTTCTCTATGTCAGCAGCTACTACGAGCTGTACGTACATCTTGAATCAGATTGTGTACTTGCACATGTGTCCCAAGATACAACTACAGTGTTATCTCTCTTGATACAATAAAAAATACAGCAAGTTATGTACTGTATGTTGAAAGTTAAATTAGTCCTGTGGCCAAGCATGATAAAACCTCTATGCTTAAAAGGCCTAAATTTGTCTGTGTTGTGGAACAGCATGTACTCGCAATATGTTAGAGATCTTGAAGGAGTTATCAAAAGAAACAAGTCATTGAAAATGACACAGTCCCCGTAAAATTTTTGAAAGTTCTCTTCGTGCTCATCATATTAAAGCGGAGGGGTTGTCGCGAGCGTGTCCTTGAAACTTGAGTTCAAAACACGTGTTCCGCGTAGTATAATATGGCCAAAAATAAAAACAGCAGTTATTCAGCCATCTTTGATCTGATTATGAAACACACCGATATGTATGATGCATGTGCCAAATACGGATGAAAATGGTACAGAAATTGTGGAAATATAGTAGCAAGGCCAAAAAGTCAGATTGCTGTGAATCTGCCATCCTTGACCAGATTTTGAAACAAATTGTCATGGACATGCATCCTAACATGTATAAAGTACATGTATGTGCCAAATTTGAATGACAACTGACAGAGCACGTCCAAGATACCGCATAAAAAAAACCACAAGATGCCTGCCAATCGACCATCTTTGATCCAATTGCGAAATAAATCGTCATGGACATGTATCCTAACATGTATAATCTATGTACCAAGTTTGAATGACAACTGACAAAGCATGTCCAAAATACAACGTTTTCAAAATGAAATACGACTCTGGACAGACTGACACACGGACGGACAGACTCAGGAACTCACGGACGGTCGGGGACATGTATCCTAACATGTATGATCTATGTACTAAATTTGAATGAAGACTGACAAAGCATGTCCAAAATACAACATTTTCAAAAAACAAGATGGCTGCCAGTCGGCCATTTTGAATCAAATCGCTAAACCACTGCATGTGCATATGTCCCACATAAAGTACTAGGCACATGCAAAGAATGAACGGAATCGGTCAAAGGGATTCTGAGATATGACTACGGACAGACGCACGGGCGGAGACCGAATTATAGGGGACTAATAATTACACTCTTGGAGAAAGTAGGACAAATACTCACCTAACTCTGGCCATGTAAGCAGGTCTTGCCCTCAGTGCAAGGGCACCTACAAGGGAAAAAAATATATATATTGTTATTTGTGCTTTTCATGAAAGTGTTAATTTGTTTTAAATAAATATCACATAAATTTCAAATAGTGACCAAAAACACGAATTAATTTTAAGTAGTAACCCAGTTAGGCTAATAATTTTGGACAATAATAGCTCTAGCACAAAATTTGGTAGTCTGTGGCTATAGTATACTGGTAATTCGAGCTGTCACTAATGATGTAGAGGTCAGAAACCTTTAGTTTCAGTTTGAATTGTTAACTTTATAATAGTAATAGCTTTTTTGTTTCAAATCATTCTAGGATGTAGACCACAGTTTATTTTATTTTATGTAGTCAAGGGCATTCATTCAGTGAACAGTTCCTTTCAACAATGAGGTACTATGATAACTTTTCACCCATTTATTTCTATCTACATCAGTACAAGCCATATTTATCGATGTATTTAGTTCCTGTATGATGAGCCTCAGGCGTGCATCATCGTGATGATGGACAGGAACATTGGTGTTGGTAGCCACACATCAGTACAATATCTTTTAAAAATTACTACATGTGTATATGTAACTACAGTTCAGTACAAGACCAAAATGCAATGCACGGGGACTAAATACAGCTGCCAACTACTAAACCGTGGCAAAGACCTCGAGGGGACACGGCTAAAATTTTACGTTTTAGGGTAATGTTAGGCTCATGTGCGTTTTTAGAGAGAGGAATATAAACAATACACTCACCTGTCGAGCACACCACTCTCCGAAACATTATTACAGTTTACTTTTACGGAATGTTCACCATTCACGAACACTTTCGTGCTTCCCCGTGCTATCAAAATGGCGGACGCCGGGCAGAGACGACTTACCGATAAAACCCGACGTTTTACGAATGTTATTTGTAAAGTCAACGGTGATTGGCTGTTAATTCAGTGAAGCCAATTCATAAAGCCACATGAATATAATATACCCACTCGAAAATGTATTCGCACAGAATTAAAAAAATACGGCACAATCAAATGACTACATCATTCGTTTATAAAATATCCGAACATTTATTAGAATTAAAATAAGACGAATTTCTTATGTCAAATCAGTTGTCCAATAGCAATATCCCTAACAAAAACCTCGTCGTAAATTGACCTATTTACGACTTCATAGATAGTTGTATTTTTGGATTTGCATTTAATTCCATTAAAGAAACATTACAATTATATATTGAAAAAAGTTTCTGTATGTAGCTATTGAAATATTTGCTTATAATAATAGTCAAACACTAAGAATAATATTAGTCGCAAAATTTTAATTTTACGGCAGGTCATTGCTCACATGTGATGGGAATCGTTGATTGATGTACCTGATCGGCTTTTCAGCGCTTTGAGAGGTTCTGTATTCCGTCGCTAAAATTGGCGTTCTCTTTCATTTATCAGGATGGTGTCCGTACCAGCTGCAATGGAAAAGTATTTTGATGTGATAAAGCATAATAATGGCAAGTATGAACAAAAGTTAGTAACATTCCAGTTAGAATGAATGAATGAAATGGACTACTTCTTAGTACTATGACAGTTGTCTAGTATTTCATGTAAAGGTAAATTTTACACGTTCCCATGAAGACACTTTCGTATAGTGTGCTAGTCAATATAAACCCCGGGTCCTTCTCATCTCGGGGTACGTGGGACAAAAATAAAAGTTGCTACACATAATAATAATAATATTTATTAGACGCATAAAGTCCTTTGGAAAATATAAAAAGAGTCTTACAAAAAGAAAATTAAAAACTATAAACTAAAAAAACTTGTTCTCAAAATATAAAAAAAATAAATAAATAAATAAGAATAAAAAATAAAGGCAATTTTTAACCAATGATGAATACAGAATAGAACAATCTGATAGTTGTTCCTTTTTTTTAAGAAGATGTAGCTAAGGCTGGTGCTAGTGTATGGTTTCCCCCATAATTATTATGAATTTATTCTGACTGTTTTCTTTATCAAAATTTGGAACTTGTAATTTTCAATTTTTAAATCATGTTTAAAAGTCTGAATAGTAGTGTTCACGCTACACGAAGTACGGGCTAAGATATAAGCTGATTTATGCTTATCATGTTTGCATTTCGGCTAGGCCCAATTGCGTCTAGGCCAGTCCTTATCACAGGCCAAAGGGGCACCATCAGTCGGTGACTTTTGTTAAGCCGTTGTTTACGAACGCAACATTTCTGCTGCTGACATGTTACATTCTAATTTTGAAGCGACGTGCGCAGGAATTTGACTGTTTAGCCCGTGCTAAGGAGCTGTGCGTGAACGCAACTTGTGTTCTTAGTTTGTTTTTAGCCAAGGTTTGTTTTCTAATATCGTTATGCATGTCCAAAGAGTGGGATATTGCCTGTAGATGTGGTTAATTGTCTTTTGGAGATAAAAACGATATCATCTTGATTGTTTCATATCTGGCTGTATTTTTAACACAAACATTTAAGTTTTCTGTCAAAATATGTAGTACAGATTTCGGAGTGTGAATAAATGACTCCCCACTTTATATTTAGTGTTCCAGGGTATACAGAAATCTGTTCAGCATCAGAATTAATTACACACACCAAATACATTATACAATCCAGTGTATGTGATATGTTGCAGTGACATGAGCTCTGAGGTATTCACAATACTCAACAGTGGTGACAACACTATCACCACACTAGATGGTCACAAGGCTGGTAAAGCATAATAACATAAGGATTTACCATTTCCAGTGTGACTAACAACGAACACATCAGACTCGGAACTAAGTATAGCTTGAAGAGCTTTGGTCTGAATATCAGTGAGTTGTATGTCTTGATATCATGACTGTATTGCCTCGGCATCCAAGCCAACACAGCTTCCATTGTGCACAGCCAAATTCGTTTTGAACAGTTATATGATCTTTTGTTTTGATCTACAAATAAATTCATAAGAAGTTGGATCAATTGCAATACATTTACCTGTAAGTTTGGAAATAACTTTCATAAGTTTATCATTTATATGCAATATCATTCAAATATTTGTGAAAATGATAGTAACATACATTGTCTTCATTTTACAGATGGCTCTGTTATTTTCGGTGCATCTGGATTGACTGGAAGATATTGGGCAGGCTCCCTGTGGTTTTATAAAGACCCATCATTTGCACCAGATATATTAAAATGCAGTGCTGGAGTTTCCACTGAAGCAGGTGTCTGTGATCTTGAGTGGATTGATGATAGCAGATTAGCATTAGCATCAGATTCAGGTATGTCTATATTCACTCATAGTTAACGTGAAAATTTATCGGATCAGAGTGCATGGCAAAAACCAGTTCTTTAGTTTATAAACTTGTTTGTATTTGTAAATACCGACCTCTGTGGCTGAATCTGAGCCAAGGTCACAGAGTGCTGGTCAAGAGATAACGGCCAGGCTGCATTGGTCAAAGACGTTTTTGTCTTGTATTTTACACCCCAATTAAGTGTAGACAGAGATGAATTATTGGCACGTAATCATCATGAATTGAGCGCCGGCGGATCGACTATCGGTTACTAGTTAGTAGCAATAGGCGCGATCGTGGAAGTCTCTCACTGCTACTGTATGATGGACTTTTATGCAAAAAATTTGATTTCGTTTCTAACAAATTTTAAGAAATCGGTCTATATTTTCTTGAAACATGTCTGTTTTGCTTACTGTAGAAGTAGAAAATATTCGCATGGTTTTTAATTTAGCGAATTTCGCAGTTCATAAACATTAAATTAAAACTATGCGAAAATGTTCTGTTTCAAATGAGCTTTTATCACAGTAAACAATGTTAAATTATTCTTTGAATGCTGAGTTTAACTTTTGAAAATAACCAATTTTTTGATTTGAAATGAAAATCATGTCGTTTTCCCACCAAAATCAAAGCCAAAAAACTGCAAACATCGGCAAATCTCTTTTGTATTGCGTTCATACATTAACATATACTATTTAAATGAGCTATGGGAATTTGTTCACTTTGGCATCGTCAAGCATTTTGATTGGTTAATTAACGACTTGACCTATCAGGTCAAAGAACACCTTTCAGGTCAACTTCTTCACAGGAACCATGATAGATATCGCATCACATCAAGTGTTTACATGCGGCGAATCATTTGCTTACGATGAAATTAAGTTGAATTTTACTTGCATTTTATTTTTTCTACGTTATTATAATTACTACCGTAAAAATCATATTTGAGGCCGCAGCTTTAATCGAAGCCACACACCTAACTTGAGACATTGTTTCATGTTGAAATTGACAAGTTTTGATCCCAGGAAAAAGCCTGCAATATAAGCCGCACCCCAAACTTTGACAAACCAAACAGCCACCACATATTTCAGAAAAAGATATACCATTTAATTTTAAGTTAAGGCATAATTTAACCACAGATAAGCACCACCATGAAATGAAAGTGTAACAAAGTGGCGCCTAATTGAAGACAAATACGGTATATTATGTATTCCTGAATAAATGTCTGAAAAAACATGAATTTCTGTTTCTGTATAGTTTATTATGTATATGTAAAACAATAAATTCTGGCAACCAACAATTTCCACTGTGACATCAATGTGACACTAACTGTAGTCCACTGTGACATAAATGTGACACTAACTTGTCCACTGTGACATCACTGTGACATCAATGTGACACTAACTGTAGTCCACTGTGACATAAATGTGACACTAACTTGTCCACTGTGACATCAATGTGACACTGACTGTAGTCCACTGTGACATCAATGTGACACTGACTGTAGTCCACTGTGACATCAATGTGACACTGACTGTAGTCCACTGTGACATCAATGTGACATTGACTGTAGTCCACTGTGACATCAATGTGACACTAACTGTAGTCCACTGTGACATGAATGTGACAATAACTGTAGTCCACTGTGACATCAATGTGACACTAACTGTAGTCCACTGTGACATCAGTGTGACATTGACTGTAGTCCACTGTGACATCAATGTGACACTAACTGTAGTCCACTGTGACATCAGTGTGACATTGACTGTAGTCCACTGTGATGTCTATGTGATGTCTGTAGTCCACTGTGACGTCAATGTAACATTGTCTGTAATCCACTGTGACGTCAATGTGACACTGACTGTAGTCCACTGTGACATCAATGTGACATTGACTGTAGTCCACTGTGACATCAATGTGACACTGAATGTAGCCCACTATGACGTCAGTGTGACACTTACTGTAGTCCACTATGGCATCAATGTGACACTTACTGTAGTCCACTATGGCATCAATGTGACATTGTCTGTAGTCCACTGTGACATCAATGTGACATTGTCTGTAGTCCACTGTGACATTAATGTGACATTGTCTGTAGTCCACTGTGATGTCTATGTGATGTCTGTAGTCCACTGTGACGTCAATGTAACATTGTCTGTA